AAATAGAAAATTCACTAAATTTGGATCAATTTGGATTTGGGTAACGGAGAAAGCTGGAAACCTACAATTTGGAATGTCAGTGACAGAAAGTTAGAAAGAAGGACCAAAGGGTTTTAGGTACTAAGTGGTACAAAATTTAGTGGTGGTGATAGTATGGAGGTTGTCTAAAAAATGTGTACTTATATGTTCGAAAAGTTATAAATGGAACAGAATGTGGAACCTGTACGTTTCTGGTAAAGTATTAATTCGGAATTCTGATCTATTTTTAATCTATGTAATGGAAATAAGAAAGAGATTTCGTAAAATAGTGCTGCTGTGTATGAAGAGTACTTAATTGTAATAAAGTTGATATTAGATTAAAAGAGGGGGAAATCAGAACTATAGTACAACAAATTATACAGTATTCACGATTTTCATATGATTTTTTTTATTCCCTTTCCGCATACGAAGTAGCGGGCACTTTGCTAGTATATATATATATATGCACATTATCTATGGAAAAGCTATTTACGCACCAAGAACCCGGAGCGCCAAATGACATTCACTTCGCTTAGAAAATGCCCATATTGATATACGACATTCTATGAATCCATCAAATGTCGGATTTCTTATACACCCTTTACGAAAGACTTACTTTGAAATGCATTACTATTTTAATATGTTTCCATATTGAATCACGCCATTTTAGACAAAATCTCTTCGGCTTTGAAAAAATTTAATATTCATCGGAAAATTTTGCGTGAGAACTAATTCTTAACCGATTTATGGCAAGGGACCGGCGAAATTGGTCGTTATAAGCGATATGCCACTAAAAACGATGTCACCTTAATCCGAACTGATTCAAACAAAACTCAAGACGCATTAAATTATTTGTGTTCTATTTACATCAAATCGAACGAAATTATACTTGGAAGCTATATCTTAATATGAACCCATTTAATCCAACTCGAAAACCGTTCCTGAACCCACGAAACTGATAAAACATTGAATTAAATTTAAGAGAGCACAATACAAAATTGGGTTCCCTTTGTAAACATTGGCCGAATAAAAATGGTAAACAGGAATGCCTACTTCTGATTGGCTGTAAAAGGTCGTTTACATTTAACCGGATTTGGTTAACCCAGTGGGTTTAAATTTTCAATTCCTTTGAATATATGCCAAATAAATACTCATAAAGTAGGTTAACCCGGTAAAAAGTTCTAATGTAAATGCCGTATAATGCTGATTTTGAAGTATTGCCATCTAATTTGGGATATTTACTAGATTTGCGTTCCTGAACTTTTCAAATTATTTTGTACCCTGAGAGCGATTTTGAAATATTATCTTTTATTGGCTTTACTATCAAAAAGGTACTTGAACAGACCAAATTACAAACATTATTATGTCAATATTGGTAGAGATCCATGTAGAAAATTCATAATAATTTAAAGTCCCCATATAACGTAAATAATGACAAAAACAATAAATGAGGAAAACATTTTTTTTTTTTCTATTGACATTTTTCAAGTGTGTTTAGAAACATCTTCTGTTATCTAATGCGGAAGTTGTTTTGTATTTTACAAGTGTTTTACGGAAAACCGTTATAATTTACATATAAATAGCATCTCAATTGAATTCATTACCTTAGTGGACAACTGAATAAATCAGCTATCGATTCCAGCGTTTTTCCATTTTTAGCCAATATTTTACAGAGCAAGGAAAATGTTATCATCCAAATTGTTCGTGTTGATGATGATCGTGGTCTCCATGATCCTGTTCAGTGCACCAGCTGCTGAAGGTACCTTCCTGGTGTTGGCCTGTTTGCTAAGATCACCATTGTGTCCATTCCGCACAACAACAACAACAACCTCAACAACAACTGCTGCTACTACTTAAAATCCTGACGCAGGTCAAAAGTAAAAACAAAAATTTTCCTCTTAAGTTGTATTTTTCTAAACAATCAAATGGCCTATAAATAAAAAATAGGGCAAGCATATGTGAATTTATTATTTTGATGAAATATCATATGGTAAGCTATAGTCGAAGACTTTGATTGGTTTGGAGACAAGAATTCGATATAGAAGAAGACTATGCTATAAACCAAGCAAAAATCTAATTCGATTTGACTGAAGACATGCTACCTCAAAAATAACCTGCAATAGCCGGAAGCTTTTCGTCGTAATTTGTAAGGATACAATTAAGGATAAGGATATTAAAACAAACCATCTACTGTAAAATTTCAAATTTGAGGGTTACGTTTTTGTTCGCAATTTTTTTTCATGTATATTTTTTTAGTGAACTTCTCGTCACTTGTCGTATAGCACTTAACTTGTCAGCTACTATTTGCATGTGATCATATTCTTTGTCAATGTCCAGAGTAATATTCTGAAAAACTGGGACAAATGTAGGGTGTACTCAAGAAGGCGAGATGGTACAGCTACACCCATGATACAATTATACAAAGGTAGGTTTTGTCAGAAAGGAGAAAATATACCTCTACCTTATGGGCAATAATGTCAAAATAAATGAAAACAAATGCAACAACTAATAAAAAATCGAATCGAACCTAAATTGGAAGATTAATTTCATATATGAAAATAACTAATATGTGTAATGTGTCGATTAACATTGCAGCTGTATGTAATAAGAAGTGTTAGATCAAACATCTTTTACTTATTTATTAGAAAAAATCCAAATTAAATTTTAACATTTTCCCCATTTTCTTCCAACGATTAAATTATCTCTTCTATACATTCGTTAAAAAATTGTACGCAATCATGCCGCTCAACACATCGTATTTCACAATATGAATGTAGTCGTTTGTAAGATTTATTTCCTTCTCGAAATATTCTACATAAAGTAGCAGACCTTTTTGAATGAGTTATATTTCCGAAATTGTCGAATTTCTTTAATCTTCAGGGCTGCATTTATGTTAATTTTAAAATGTGAGAGGAACAATGTATGTTACTGCCGAAGGGAATTTTAATTTACCCTTGATTACCTTTCCATTCCATTATTAAAATTTTGCTACAGAAGTAATTTTGAATCTTGGCGGTTGCCCTTTTCGCACCCACCTTCATATGAAAATAAGATGCAGACTTTACAAAAAGCACCTCATTTTCCATGTTTTATTTGTGGCTCAAACTCATAGTCAGAATCATTTTATCATTGGGTAACACATCTTCCTACCTACAATCATCAATATTTGTATAATTTTTACGATAGCCTCCATACACGTATTTTAAATACCCCCTCATGTTAGAGTGTAAAAAAGTTTGTCCCGGGCGAGATACACGACGTAGACATAAGCCCATATCGACCCAATTTCTGTAGGGATGTTTTCCATTATATTAAAGTTTAAACATTACAAATGCCGAAAATGGGGTTGAACATTTATTTCGAAACATGGACATATATCCAACTTTTCGAGACTGTATACTATGTACTATGTACAGGGTGGTGTACGGGATGATAGATACCAAGCAATGGCTCTGATTGGATTTAACATGGCGAAGCCCAGGCTTATCTTGGTCCCTCTTTCATCTCAATTGTGGACACTGACCTCCCCGCGGTGCCACCTGGGGAGCTATTCTCATCACCCGATGAAATAGTGAGCTAGCATGTGCCGCGAGTTCACCCATAAGAACTATAAAAAAATGGGTTGAGGCGTCGAGTTAGTTGCCCACTCTCGGAAAACCCAACCTACTATGAAAAAGCAAAGCCTTACAGGAAATGCGATGGAAAGGGACAGGCGCAAGTAAATCAGACGATTACGCCCTGTATTATAGATTTATGGTTAACAGGAGAATAAAATACCTTGTCTCCAGATTCACTCCAGTAGATGAGCGAATTGCTATAGTCCGTATAAAAGCGAAGTTCTTTTACATCAGTCTAATTTGCGCCCATGCTCCGACCGAAGATAAAGATGAACAGACCAAAGACATATTTTGCGAGCGCCTAGAAACAGCATATGACCGTTGCCCTGGCCATGACATTGAAATTCTGCTGGCAGATTATAATGCAAAAATCGAAGGGGAGAAAATTTTTGGCCTCAACGTCGGAAAATTCAGCCTTCATGAAGAAACATCCGACAACGGCATGAGGTTGATTGACTTCGTGGCAGCAAAAAACATGGTAGTTAGCAGCACCAGATTCAAGCATCTCGATATACACAAGGCCACCTGGATTTCTCCTGATCAAGTAACGAGAAATCAAATTGATCATGTTGTGATAGACGGAAGGCATTCATCCAGTGTTTTAGACGTCCGATCGATCCGAGGAGCGAATATCGATTCGGACCATTACCTTGTGGCAGCCAAGGTACGCACCCGTCTTAATGTTGCAGCAAAGGTGCGATCTAATACAACACAGAAACTCGACGTCGAAAAGCTGCAAACACAATGGCAAAGGATTGCCCACTCCCTACAAACTGCAGCAAAAAGAACAATTGGGTACCAAAAACCACCACCAAGAAACCCATGGTACGATCAGGAGTGTCGTAATGCTACTGATGTGAAAAACGCAGCGTATAGGGCAACCCTGCAGACAGTAGCAACACGTAACGTGATGGAGAATTATCGGGAGGAAATGAGAGAGGAGAAACGTGTTTTCAGAAAAAAGAAAAAAGAACAAGAAAAACGTGAGCAAATCGAGATGTACAGGAGTCAGAATGAAGTCCGGAAATTTTACCAACGAGTAAAACACCAAACCGAAGGCATTGGTGCAGGCACATCCTCCTGTAGAGATGAAGAAGGAAACCTGGTGACAGATACAGACAGCGTGTTGAGGATCTGGAAGGAGCATTTCGAAAAGCTACTAGTGTCAAATAGCGGCGATGAAGAAGATACCCCAGAACCAATAAGAGATGATGGTATAGAGTGTATACCACCTAGCCAAGATGAGGTCATAAAAGCAATTAATCGGCTCAAGAACAACAAAGCAGCAGGAGCCGATGGGTTACCAGCCGAACTATTCAAGACTGGTGGCCAGATGCTGGTCAGGAGCATGCACCAGCTGATTAACACAATTTGGCTAGATGAATGCATGCCCAATGATTGGAACCTCAGCATCCTTGTCTCGTGCACAAAAAAGGAGACAAGACGATATGTCCAACTATAGAGAAATAAGTCTCCTCTTCATCGCATATAAAGTGCTATCCAGTGTGCTGTGTGAACGATTGAAGCCAATGGTCAATGACATCATCGGACCATACCAATGCGGCTGCAGACCTGGCAAATCCACCATTGACCAGATTTTCACTCTGCGCCAAATCCTGGAAAAGACCCACGAAAAACACATTGACACATACCACCTATTTGTCGACTATAAAGCCGCATTCCACAGCCCTATCCGTTCAGAGGTGTTTAAAGCCATGTCTGCGTTCGGCATTCCTGCAAAATTAATACGGCTATGCAGAATAACTTTAAGTGGCACAAGGTCAGCCGTTAAAGTAGGAAAGGACCTATCGGAGCCCTTCAATACCGAATGAGGATTCAGACAAGGTGACAGTTTGTCGTGTGATCTTTTTAACATCCTACTGGAAAAGGTCATAAGAGACGCAAAGGTGAACAGAAATGGCACTCTGTACATCAAACAACACATGTTACTCGCCTACGTCGATGACATCGATATAATGGGTCGAACATTGCGAGCGGTAACAGCCACCTTTGAACAAATTGAAAAGGAGTATGGCAAAGTGGGTCGGGCAGTAAACGGCGAGAAGACCAAGCTGATGGTATCAACGCGCAAGACGTCCAGTAGACTCGGACCAACTGTGGAACTTGAGAACTACAGCTTCGAAGTAGTTAAAGACTTTATATACCTTGGTACCGCCATAAATAAAACGAATATCAGTTTTGAAATTCGGAGAAGGATTGTGATGGCCAACAGATGCTACTATGGTCTAAGTAAGGAGTTTAGAAACAAGGCCACCTCTCGCCAGACCAAACTCACACTTTACAGGACGCTGATACTACCCGTGCTAATATATGCATCAGAAGCATGGGTACTTGCGCAACCAGATGAGGCAGCGCTTGGAGTGTTTGAGAGAAAAATTCTCCGAAAGATGTACGGGCCGATCTGCGTCGACGGTGAATATCGGCATCGAATGAACCACGAGCTGTACAATTTATACGCGGACATCGACATAGTCAGTCGTATTGAGCTGCAGCGACTACGGTGGCTAGGCCATGTTGTGCGGATGAATGAAGATGCCCCAGCTCAAAAGGCATATAAAAATGAGCCTACTGATGGTTCCCGTAGAAGGGGAAGGCCACCAATTAGATGGAAAGACCAAGTAGAAAACCACATCTTGGAACGTGATCTTCCAAATTGGTGGACTTGCGCACAAGACCGACGCGCTTGGAAATCTTTTTTAAGCTCGGCTTATGGAACAACCGTTCTGTAACAAGCCAACTAAGTAAGTAAGTAATACTATGTACAACAAAAGTAAATAAAACATCCCATATCATTTGCTGCATCATCACTTTATTGTTTTGTACATGATTTCCAAATTTTACCTCAATGTGCTTTTGTAAAACAAAATATTATAATTCATCATTTCGAAACTGACATTTAAAATTGTTCAATCGTTCACAATTCAGATGCTGGAATATCCTAAGATTTCACTTTTTCCCCGAAAGAATAAAAGTCGATACCCAATAATATTTCCAATCAGAACTATGACGTTCTATAATTTTACAGTTCGTAAAAAACGAATGAGAACATTTTTTTACATAACACAAATGGGTAATAAATGGAATTATTCTTTCTTCTTTGTGGTTGTAGTTGTTGTTGTGGTGGTCCTGAATGGACACAATGGAGAACGAAGTAAACAGGCCCACACAATGACGGTTCCTTCAACTGCGGGTGCACTGAACAAAATCATGGAAATTACA